AATACCTGTGAAATAACAGTGTTTTTTTGTTTTATTTGAATTAGAAGATTTTACTTTAATTTTATGGTTTTTGTTTGGCAGCCGTAGCTGCCAGTCATTTGACCCTTTTTTTAAGATTTTTTTTTTTCACTGAAGGTATATGATTGTTATTTTACAGGTATATCCTGAATTATCACAGTGTTTTCAGTTTATTTAATTTAGGATTTTTTACTTTAATGTTACAGTTTTTTGGGGGCTGCCAGTCATTTGACCGTTTTATCATCTAACTGTTTTGTTACTGTTTAATTACAGATTATATTTGTAATTTTACATACATTTTTATGTAATTTAAGAAAACAGAAAAAATACTGTATGAAAAATACAATCAATTTCCTGTATAAAAAATGTGAATTACTGCAATTTGTCATTAATGTCACAATACCTAAAATAACAGCTGAATTTTTATTTGACAGATATTATTTGTAATTTTACAGTGTTTTGAGTACAATTTAAAATGAAAGAAAATGATCGTCAATAAATCACAGTTATTTTCTGTAAAATTAGGATTTTTTTTTACAGTGTAGAGAACCGTCTACAAGATGCCTCTATGCTCTGAAGTGGTCAGTATTCGCTGGCTGGTCTCAGCCAGACACTTCGATCCCCACTCATGCGAATTATCAGTGGTGCTCTCCTTCTTACAAGAGCTTTTAGATGCGGGCCGCTCCCCATCCACGCTCAAAGTGTATGTGGCAGCCATGGCAGCTCACCATGCTCCTGTGGCTGGCCAGTTGCTGGGGTGAAATGACCTTATCGTTCGTTTTCTCAAAGGAGCCAGGAGGTTGAACCCCCCCAGGCCTCACACTATACCGGCGTGGGACCTTTCCAACGGTGACTTAAAAATTCCAGTTTTCTCCTTCAGTGATTCTGCTTTTTAACATCAGGTGTCTTCAATTATGTTCAATCATCACTCAATTATTTACTTATTTATCTCATTAACTTGAACACTGCTTCAGTGTCCATTTAACACTCTGCTCAGAGTTGATATAATTCACACTTTTAAGTCTTATTTTAAAGCTGCAGTCCGTAGCTTTTCCTCTTTGTCGCCATCTCCGTTTGAAGTCTGCAATTGCAGTCATTCGCGGAATTATTAATTTTACGTGAGTTGTACATCGGCATGAAACAGCGCGGATGAACACAATGTTGTGAGGAGAGTGCGCGTCGCGGCTGTCGGTCACAGCGCCGGTGTGGATACTGGCATTCAGAATCACACATTCTACTTTTTGGAAGTACAGGATGACCAACATAAGAATTTTCACCGGAAAATGTCCTCTTGAACAAGTAAGTAACTTTCACTTTTGTTCAGATCAACTAAGGGGAAAAATGTATTGCACTGTCTGCAGTAAATCGCGCTGATTAAATCTAACGATCGCTTATCATGTCGAACCGTGAAAATTATAGGATAACTTTGTTCTCAAATTGTCAATGTTAACAACATCAGCATTGCATGATTTAATGTGTTTTATGGTTACCTGTAGTTCAGAATTCATATTCTCCATAATAGCTAAACGAGAAAGGCACAACAAAGGAAACTCCATAACTGTGTGAATTAAGTAAACAATTGTGGTACTGTTACACGATTGAAATATTGAAATGTCTTACTTGTCCAGCAGAAAAAAGTGTCTCTTCTTCCGTTTTGAACCCCTTCACACACCCCTTCACATAACTGGTGAATCTCCAGTTGACACTGATGATTGTCGTTTGGATCTTTCTGGATCCGCCATAAGTTAAATTATGTAAAGTGCTGTGAGAAAAGGCTATACATCTCTACATCTCCACACCGTCAACGTCCTCACGCGCAGTATAGCCGGCTAGCCGAAACTCCTTTTTTATGTGTACAGATGTGACGTAATGACGCAAAGACATGCTCGAATTTCCCGCGGAAACCCACCAGTACCACTGGAATTAAAATCATTATTACAAGCTAACCGTTTTGAATCGAGCTACGGCAACCAGATAGGTTTGAACACTGGCTGAATATGTTTTTTTTTAAATAATTATTTTGGATTATTTTTAACTTGAAAAAAGTTACGGACTGCAGCTTTAACACTGAGGAATTTGCTGTGTGCATGTCCTCGTTTGCTGAGCTCGGGGTGAAGCTTCCCCCATAACTATATTATTAAGATAACATTCCTGTTATTGACCATTCAAATGCATCAGTTGTGTTCAGGGTATCGCATATGGTTGTTTGGGGGGTTTGACTTGCTGCTCTCCCCGATTTGTCCAGGAATTGCTGCATGGACAGGCGTGGGAGTTTTACCCAGAACAGAACCATACCACCAACACTAACTGTATGCTATAATTGTAATAAATTATATTTACTTGGCGAAGTGGTCCTGACTGAAATCAAGAATCACTTTAGTTCAGGCAGGCCACATCGGCCACATCAGCAAATTACAGAAAATTCTGTCAACAAAGAGTTAATATGAAGGGGTGGATTTTACAAATAGGGAACTAGAGAAACGTATTATTTTCTTAAATTAAGTGCATTTATTCTGGTATTAATGTTACAGGCAATGTCTGTATTTGTTATCTGAGAGGTGACTGAGGGTCTGTCTGTCCCATGTCAGGAATGCAGTAAAAGTGTTTGCTCATTTAACCAAACTAAATAATACATCATATGTTTAGGCCTGTAATAAATATATAGTTGTGGCAAAGATTTCCTGGCAGACTTAAATTTGCAGGCTAAAACTCATAACATGTAATATCTATCATTATAAGCATGAGAAGAGATAAAACAATGTTTGATTAAACAATGATTTTTGGCTGTATATCATAAACATTCTGGGTTGTGTTTCCCAAAAGCATCATAAGCCTACACTGAAAACCCTAATAAGTTGATTGAACTCAATTGATTTGAGTAAACTCGTTCCCTCAATTTAATTGAGTAATGGGGTCTCCCAAAACGTGTATATTTAAGTGTACTTAACTTGGTGCTTATGTAGACTGTAACACTGAAGCAGTGTTAAAGTTAATGAGATAATTAAGTGATTAATTGAGTGATGATTGAGCATTATTGAAGACACCTGATATTAACAAGCAGAATCACTGAAGGACAAAACCATAATTTTTAAGTCACCGTTGTGGAGATCAGTGTTTGCTTTAGTTGGGCTCTTGACCCTTAACTCATTAACTTTATATTTTGTTTGATGGCTGTAACTCAGTTGTAACCAGATGAAAAAATAGAAAAGGTCATCTGATGGTGGTGATTGTGTTTTAACATAATCATTATTTCATAATGAATGGAATTTAGTCTTTGAAGTCATATAAAGCTGAATCATGTTCACCTGCACTGTTTATATTTTATATAATATTTGTAACATTTAAATTTTAATCCAAATATTCTCTTTTAAGGTTGTTATAATAAAAAATATGTAGATCATATTATTTTAGACACATAGAGATCAAGAATCAGCCTCTGAATCTCAACAATGGTGACATAAAGCATATTGCAGTGCATTCTGGGTGCCACCAATCAAAACTCATTCATGGCTCCCATCATGCATTGCTGCATGAATAAATAATGAGCTTATGTTCAGAGGTTATCTGTTCATCACCATTGCTGAGATTCATACGCTAAATCTTGATGTCTGTGTGTCTAAAAATAATATACAGTAATATGTATAAGAACAACTTCAAAGAAATTGTTTGCATTATGATGTAATCGTTGAAAATGTAATGCTGTACAAGGACAGTGTTGCTATAATTAATAACATAAATCTAATTCAGAAATTGGGTATTAAATGAGTTTAGTTTAGGATTCAGGTCAAAAGATTGTGAAATAATGCTTATGTTAAAACACAATCACCACCATCAGATCACCTTTTTCATTTGTTCATCTGGCTGTTATAACTGAGTTACAGCAGTCAAACAAAATATAAAGTTAATGATCAAAGGGTCAAGAGCCCAACTAAACCAAACACTTATCACCATAACGGTGCCTTAAAAATGATGGTTTTCTCCTTCAGTGATTCTGCTTGTTAACATCAGGTAACTTCAATAATGCTCAATCATCACTCAATTATTCACTTAATTATCTCATTAACTTTAACACTGCTTCAGTGTTACTTATAACACTCTTGAGTGTGGACTGATATAAACACTGAGCAGTGTTAATTTAACACTGGGGATTTTGCTGTGCACTTAAATATACAAGTACACTTGAAATCAACACTAAGTTAAGTTAACTTTATTGTTTAAGTACATTAAATAATCATCAAGTTTGGTGAACTAAACAATTTAAGTCAAGTCTACATAAGCACCAAGTTAAGTACACTTAAATATGCACGTTTTGGGAGACCCCATTACTCAATTAAATTGAGGGAACGAGTTTACTCAAATCAATTGAGTTCAATCAACTTATTAGTGTTTTCAGTGTTAACTTTCAGAACTTGTACAAATGACGCTCAATCATCACTCAATTAATCACTTAATTATCTCATTAACTTTAACACTGGTTCAGTGTTACTTATAACACTCTTGAGTGTGGACTCATATAAACACTGAACAGTGTAAATTAAACACTGGAGGTGTACTGTATTACAAAAACACTTGTATATGGGTATTAAAGTTTATTTATCAAGTTTAAAGTATCAGATTTAAAAAATAAAAATCTGTTCATTTCCATTACGATCAATAATTGTAATATAATGAAAGCCATTTGTTTTCTGGTAAAATAAGAATGACACCTTGCACTTGAAGAAAGCATGTATGAATGTATTCATTTCACAGTCAAGAAAACAACATTTGTGAAAATGACCTTTAGTAAGGATTAATCAGGATTTTGAGCTCACAGCACTTGAAATCTTAAGTTTATGTATTTTGAAGGTAAATAAGTTATTTGAACTTATATTTTTGAGTGACAGGGCCAAAATGCTAAATTTAAAGTAATGTTTAGTCAAGTACACTTGATTGTTTAAGTAAAGACAACATTAGGGTTTACCGCAGAACCATTGCCACCAATGGTCTCCACGATAAACATATGATGCTTATGAGAAATCCAATCCTGTATAGTATATATTACATCAAAAACACATCTATTTGGATGCTTTTATAATACATATAATTTTTTTGCGAATTTCAGGAAAATTTAAACCATAAACAAGAGGGTTCAGGATGGGTGGTACAATAAGAAACTGCAGTGAAAGAATAATTGACAGGCCTAGAGGGAGATCCAAAGTCGTGACCCGACTCAAAGTGACCTCACAAAAAAGAGCAATAGAGAAATTTAAAAGGATGACTATGTGTGGAACACAAGTTTGATATGCTTTTCTCCTGAACTCTGCTGAACTTTTTGTACAAATGATAAGAATTCTAACATAGGAATATAATATAAAAGTGAAAGGCATAATAACAGTTGTGGTCACTATGAAAAAGCCAAAAACATTATTTATAATAGTGTTTTCACAAGAAAGCTTGACTATTTCCCAGTTGTGACAATACACTTTCCACAGTTTGTTACCACACATAGTCAGTCTGGCATTTAAAATACCAGCAATACCAACACAAAGCATTGGATAAATCCAGCTTATAGCTATTAAAACAGATACAATCCTGGGAGTCATTATGCTGCTGTATTGTAAAGGTTTACAGATTGCTACATATCTGTCAAATGCCATTATCATTAATATTGTATTTTCATTTGATGCATATGAATAAATGACAAAAGCCTGTAAGAGGCATGCTGCACGGGACAACAAGTGTGTATCAGACACCAAATCTGTCAGTAACCTTGGGAAAAAAGCAGCTGTTCCAAACACAGAGTTGATGGACAAACATGAAATCAGAATGTACATGGGCAGGTGTAAAGTCCTTTCCAGATAAATTGCAAGAATTATAAAGCCATTAAATAATATAATAGCACAGTATAGAATAATTCCCAAACTGAAGAATGCATATCTTATGTACCCAATATTTTCAAACAACATCAAGTAAAAGTTTGTTCCATTTTCCATTTTTTCTAAAAGCAAAGGATGGATTCATTGACCTGTGGATGAAAGCAGACACAGTTCATGTGATTTTTGCCTTTAAAAAGATTTGACAGATACTTTACAGTGTCCTTGTTACACATGCTACATGTAGTTAAAATAGTAATAATATAAATTATCCATAATTACATGCAACTGAACCAAAGCTAATCCTAACTCTAACCCCATATAAGTACATGTAGTTAATTAATATTACTCATTAAAATGTATCCTCAAAGTGTAACTTGTTTTCATGCTTATCTGCTTAGGATAATTGTAGCCACAATGTTTAATACATCATGTGAATATGAATTACTGTGTGAATTATTCAGTCAGTTTAACAATCTACATGAATATGAAATTGCATTACCAGAAATACCTTCTGTGAAACGATCTGACATTACCAACACTTTATCTTCAACTAATGTGTGAATGTGCAGAGAATTAGGTCCAGCCTATGCATGCTCTGTTTAAGAAGACCTACGAGTCACAATACATGCTTTTTTTATAGCATAAAACACGTCTCTGAAGACCCCACTGCTGTGGCTTGATTTGCATAAACAGCATTAACTAAACAAATTAAAAATGTGACACAGTGGGTTAAATTATTGGAACTCACTGATGACTGCAATCTATTGAACACTTTGCTTCAAATTACATACTTTGAAGTCTGAATATGTAAGAATGTAACACCACAATTTGTGTTGGCTGAAAATGTGCAGTCTGGTGGGCAAATACAGATGCAACTAATGAGGTTGTGAGTCTTTTAGTTGAAAATACATTTTTACATAATATGTAAAGTGTCAATGGGAATATGGTACTATTAATTCATACACCATGTTCTCAGTTGTGTTCGTCTTTTAAATGGCAAAGGGTATGTCTTAACACAGCCTTCGCCAGCAGGTTGTGATATTGATCTGTGAATAATTTAGTAATGTGCACCTCTCTTAATATTTTGATTATAGTGTTGAATGGTACATGCTTGGAATCATGTGGAAGTTCTCAGTTACTGAAACTGATTTATGTTAATCTGTTCTGTGATAGTTTTCATTCTTCATGTATTTAAGTATGTTTTTGTCTAATTAGTTTATTTATTATTTGTGTCTATTTATTCCAGTCATATAATCGAAAAGTGTTACAAGCATGAGCACGAGAGCAATCACCAGAAATGTACAAGAAAGAGATGTGGAACATAAGTAAAAGGTCAGCAGCACTGACAACACGGTGTAGTCATTTTTCCCCCTTCTTTTTCTTTCTTTTTTTAGCTTGTGAGGAAGAAGTATGGCCTCTTAGATATACTTCTTTATTGCCTCCCACTCAGGAGAAGACAGTCAGAGACATCTCTTGCTGCAGGTCAATGGCCCAGTTGTTTGGGCGGACATACTGAAGAGCCAATTGGATTGACACTATTAATGCCACATTCAGGGACATCTTCATTGCTGCTTCAATGCAAATGACCTGAATTTGACACTACATACACAGCAAAATCACCAGTGTTAAATTAACACTGCTCAGTGTTTATATGAGTCCACACTCAGAGAGTGTCAGAGCAGTGCCAAAGTTAATGAGATAATTAAGTGATTAATTGAGTGATAATTGAGCATTATCGAAGACTCCTGATGTTAACAAGCAGAATCACTGAAGGAGAAAATCGTAATTGGCATGTTACCATTATGGAGATCAGTGTTTGCTTTAGTTGGTCTCTTGACCCTTAAGTCTTTAACTTTAGTTCTTTGTTTGGCTGCTGTACCTGAGTTATAACAGCCAGATGATCAAAGAGAAAAGGTGATTTGATGTTGTTGGTTGTGTTTTAACATTATCATTATCTCACAATCATTTGACCTGAATAGAGGCCAATTTCTGAGTTACATTTACTTTATTGATTATAGTTGCACTGTCCTTGAAAATCATAATATTTGCAACTTTTAGAATGTAATCCAAATCATTTCTTAAAACTTAATCACATACAAATCTTTTTTTTTTCTTTTTTAAACAGACATCAAGAACCAGCCTGTGACTCTCAACAATGGTGACAATTATAAAGCATTTTGCAGTGTATTCTGGATGCCACCAATCAAATCTCATTCATGGCTCCCATCATGCATTGCTGCATGAATAAATAATGAGCTTATGTTCAGAGGTCATCTGTTCGTCACCATTGTTGAGATTCATACCCTAATTCTTGATGTCTGTATGTGCCTACCTGAAATACTTTTTAAGGTTTTTTTTTGTTTGTTTTTGTAATGATTTGATCATTTAGATTGAATTGAAAAGGCTAAAAAAATGCATACTCTACAATGACAGTGCTGCTATAATCCATAAGGTAAACTTAACTCTGAAATTATGCTCTCAATGAGTTCAGTGATTCAGGCCAACTATTGATTATGTTAAAACACAACCAACACCATCATATCACCTTTTCTCTTTGTTCATCTGGCAGGTATAGCAGCCAAACAAAGAACTAAAGTTAATGATGTAAGGGTCAAGAGCCCAACTAAAGCAAACACTGATCTCCATAATGGTAACATACCAATTACGATTTTCTCCTTCAGTGATTCTGCTTGTTAACATCAGGTGTCGTCGATAATGCTCAATTATCACTCAATTAATTACTTAATTATCTCATTAAATTTAGCACTGCTTCAGTGTTAATTGAACACTATCTGAGTGTGGACTCATATAAACACTGAGCAGTTTTAATTTAACACTGGTGATTTTGCTGTGTACTCATACTCAAAACAACAAAAGGGACGACAGAGCAACAGGGCTAGCTGGCATTGACAGGCACTTTTCAAACTACAGGAGTGCAATAACAGACAGGCAGGGCCGTACTCACCATTGAGATGCCCGAGGTCCAGACCTCTAGCTGTATTTTCAGACTGGTCTGTCTGTTTAGAGTGCAAAACCAATCAAAACTTCCATTCCAGCTGGAGGAGAAGTGCCTTGCTGCAGTCTGCGGTGGACACCCGGCCCACATCCAAGTGTGATGTCAGAAGCCACGTCCATGCCCCCTGCGGGAAGTTTGGGGATGAATGAATGAATGAATGAATGAATGAATGAATGAATGAGGCATTTATATAGCGCTTTCATATGTACTACTGTACACCCAAAGCGCTTTTACAATCATATCAGGGGTTCTCTCCTCAACCAGCACCAGTGTGCAGCATCCACTTGGATGATGCGACGGCAGCCACAGTACAACGGCGCCAGTGCGCTCACCACACACCAGCTATAGTTGGAGAGGAGAGAGAGTGATAGAGCCAATTCAGTGGATGGGGATTATTAGGAGGCCATGATTGGCAGGGGCCAATGGGTGGAATGTGGCCAGGACACCGGGGTAACACCCCTACTCTTTACGAGAAGTGCCATGGGATTTTTAATGACCACAGAGAGTCAGGGCCTCGGTTTAACGTCTCATCCGAAGGACGGAACAAAGCACAACCATTTGCTTAATCAGCCGCAAGCAGCACATTAACAGATTATTTATTTACCTCCAACTTTCTTTGCAGAACACACAAGCATTGCTCTCCGCGTCTCCTCCATAATCTTTTTTTTTTGTCACACAGACAATTTGGATCGAAAGCTTCTTGTGGGCTATAATTTTAAATAACAATTCCAGTCTCGCACAAGAACTCTGGTCTCATGCATGCGTGATCTTGTGTTGTTTCCTTATCACTTCTCGCGTGTGTTTGGATGTGAAACAGTTTGCGACCAGACAGAGTTGTCTGCGATTCTTCTTATCGCAAAGTCGTGTAATGTGAAACCCCCTGTCGCTGATTCATTGTGCGATATGCAAACAGCAGTGACTGAATGCTACCCCAGATAGTCATGCAGTGTGAAAAGAACAGTGATCTGACGAGTTTGAAAATCATGCAGTGTGAACTCGGCATAAGTGTCAAACCGCACTTTGATGTTCATCACTGTTGAATCAGTATAGCTATATAATGTAAGTGTTGTACAAATGTTGATAATGTAAGTGCGCTATGCTCATTATGCTCATTCTTAATATACATTATTCTTATGAAAATACCCAATGTATTTTCATCGGGTGTATTTCCTATGTATTTCCATACCTCCGCGCACCCTGCTCACAAAGACATCACACATCAGCAGTGCATTCCATTCATAGACTGTAAAAAAATATGGACGTAGTGTCCGTGACGTCACCCGTAGGTTTCTGAAGAGCGTTTTTGAAGCCTAAAGTGGGCGGGTTTGGCCGTCGCCATCTTGGCAGTGCGTCACCTCTCGTCACTCCCGGATAAAATAAAATGTGCAAAGAGGCGTGTTAATGTTCATGTCTTCATTTGAGTTTTCATGCCACACCATGTTTTTGTTTCATGTTTGATCTTATTTGTAATAAACTGCACTTGGATTCTCAATAAGCTTGCCTCCAGTGGATCCGTTATACCTCGTCAGAGCTCATTTCCCAGTACTTTCAGCATCTGGCTCATATTTGCTGTCTCAAACATATTCTCAAAACTATAATTTTCAACATCTTCAAAATCAATAATTTGATCGCTGACAGCTTCTTCATCAGATCCCCCATAAAGTGACAGCGACACTAATATTTGATTGCGTTCAGTACTTTCTCTGCTGTAAATCAGAGCCATTTCAAGTTTTTCTGATGATACTTCCTATTCTTTTGTTTTTCGCATGCGGTAACTATGAGTGAAACGTCACTTCATCATTGTGTATAAGACATTGCCACCTTGTGGAATAAAGGTGAATTGAACTTATCAATTAATGCAATTATTGTTGTGCAGAAAATAAATACTTACAGCTAAACACCTCAGGTAGTTAGTGACCCTATACATTCCCTATTTTGCAAAAAAATTAATTGGAAAACAGGCATTATTTTATTGTATACTATTATCTATTGTTTATAATTATTTGATTGAGGAATACTAAGAAGTTTGATGTTTAACTTTAAAAAGACGAGTGAGGAGGAGGGTAGTGAATGATGTCCAGGGTCACTAAAGACCCGAGGTATGCGTTTAAGGGTTAACCATGTGGTACCAATTAATCACTCTCAAACCTTACTCAGCAGTTTCCCTCATCACTTGTGGTCTCCATCTGCTGGTATAGTCTTAAAATACCTATATTTTTGTTTAGCGTCTACTCTCAACCAGATGCTTTTTTCTTTGGCCTATGGTTATCAGTTTATGGTAATGGATAAAGATGGTTCAGTGGTTAGCACTGTTGGGTTCCCAGCAAGGAGATCCCAATTTCGAGTTCTGGTTGAGTCAGGTTGTTTTATTTTGTTTAAAAATCTATTTTATATACCTGATACTCTGTAGTCTATACCAGCATATCAATGGGAGGGACACCCTGGGGCCATAGTTGGCTTTAAGAAACGCACCCCTGGACAATTACGCTGTCAATACAGGGCTGACAGACAAACACATTCACACTCATCTACAGACAATTTGGAATCTAGAGTTCATTTGATCTGCATGTCTTCAGACTGTGGAGGAAACCGGAGTGTGGTATAAAAATAAAGTGTTAATTGGTAATTATTTCCTGGGTTGTAGATTTGAAACTTTGATTAGCTGTATTCAATAGATAGGCTAATAGGAAAAAGTTGTCCATACAAAAATATTAGCTAATAATTTCCTTATGCTAGTTACCTTTGACAATATCCATGTACAAGAATACCGACAATATAAAAGCTTCTCATGGATTTGGTTTACTGGATGCCTGGCCAGACAATCATTTCTGCAGAAAAAATACTTATTGTAGGTCAACAAAGTTTATTACATACAGCTATATGCACATTGCTATATTATGCACATTGATATATTTTACTTACTGGTTATTTTACTACTAATAATAAACTGATTAATGGTTAATGTGTTGAAACTGACTGATTAATAAGGATTTGGAATATTGCATGACATGTAACATGTTCAATGCCAGAGTGTGTATTCCTTCAAGCAAGAAACATGTTCAGTTATTTTTTGACAAAGTCATGGTTTGTCTGGTAATAATAAAACATCTTGATAAACAAGTTTGTTGATGAGGTTGTTGTTGTTGTTGTTGTTGTTGTTGTTGTTTTTCTGTCAATCACACATTTTGTTATTATAAAACAATATTTCCAGCTCTAAAAAATATTGGATCTTGAGTGAGTGGTCAAAGAAAATGTATAACAGAGAAAATATGTGGTCACACAAATTGGCCCATTGGTGTGCCAAATTACAAACTATTGGCAGAAGAATTGTTTATTGTGATTATTATTATAAAGGTTTTTTTTTTTAAATCTTTGGCTTTTAAAATATTTATGCTCCCATTTTTAAAGAAGCAATAGGCCAGCAGAAGCTGCGCAGTACAGAAATGTTGCTGTGGTTAAGGGGAGTTTAGGCTCCTCATTTCATTTCTTGTGGCATACTAACTTTTTATATTGCTTTTTGTATTACAAAACAATGATTTCCATAAAATAATTATTTAAAACAACCTCTATGAATTTTATTTTAAAACATTCAGATTGCAAGCATTCTAAAAGAAGAAAAGCATATGGTCTTTTGAATTCCTGAGATATTCCTACTTATTTCTTGAAAAACAGTCTCATAACTTGCTGGCGTACTGTTGTCAGATTTAGTCCATAAATAAAAGGGTTTAAAATGGGTGGTATAAGTAGGAATTCCAGGGCCATGAAATTACGCAAACCTTGAGGCACATTCTTTGAGCCATAACGACTGTATAGCACATCAAACAGCAAAGCAACAGTCACATTGATCAATGAAAGCAGATGTGGCACACATGTTTGCATGAATTTGTGTCTGACCTCTATTGACTTCATGCACTTTCTAATCAACTGAAAATAGGAGCAATATATCAATACACCATGTCCTAAGTATAGAAGAATAACAGTGAACCCAAACACATTATTTACTGTTGTAGAAAAACAAGAAAGTTTTGCAACTGCCCAAATCTCACAATATACCTTTTCAATAGTAGCGCCACATAAAGTGAGTCTAGAAAGTAATACAATTAAAACAGACATGCAAAAAAATGGGGCCAGCCAGCAGAAAAGGATCCATTCAAGAACCCTCTGATTGGTCATTATTGAATGATACTCAAGTGGTCTACATATTGCCACATATCTGTCATATGCCATCACTGTTAATGTTGAAATGTCACACAAGGCAAATGAATAAATGACAAAAATCTGAATCAGACATCCAGCATAAGAAATCATGTGATCTTCAGCTAATAAATCATACAAGAATTTAGGGTAGAATCCAGCAGTGCCATAAAGTGCATTTATACACAAATTACATAAAAACACATACATCGGCTCATGAAGTTTCTTATACGAAATTATAGTAAAAATGATAGTTACATTACAAAACACCATTAGGGGATAAAACAGTGCAGTGAGGGTAAAAAACACAAATCTGTTTTCCATTGTTTCATTAAGTCCAGAGAGTGTAAATACTAAGACAATGGATTCATTTTCCAGTGGTGGCTGCATCTGGAATGATATGCAATTATTATGCAGTTGTTATTATTATTAATTTATTGAAAACAAAAAATGCATTCGATTTCACCATCATGGTCTTAATGACATGCAGATGAAAGAGCACTTAATTTACACAGTTATCAGAGTGTTATCATTTTTTAAAAGACATTTGTTTAGCTGTTTTGTATTTGTGGACATGAAATACCTAAATATTTAACAGTAGCATACATCGTTGTTGTTGTTGTTGTTGTTTTTCAGTTACAAAGGCAGTTGAACTCTTACCATGTTATCGGGTAGCATGTTTCCAGTTGTGTTTTGTAAAGGTTTGATTTGGTTTGCTATATATGGACACTGGTCTCATGGTAATAGCCTTGACCACAAACATTGAAAACAGTTTTAACAAGCTCTCAAAAGACAATTTTTTTCTTAAGTTAAAATAACTGCCAATGTCAATCTATACCCACAGGTAGAATTCTACTTTTGTAAACTTCTACGTCCAACCATATTCTTAACAATATATCAGGTCCAACACTACATATGAAACCAGTTATATACAATGAAAACATTTTTCATGTAGAAGGTACTTTCTTACTAAATTGATTTAGAATAATGTGCACAAAGCAAATAATTGCTAATATCACTAGACAGCAGAGAACATGTAAGACTTGCTATGATAGGCCTTAATTGTAAGATGCATGTTCTGTTTTGGTTTAGTTCCATTGTGTTTTTGTTACTTTTTTCCCTCTTTTGGTTTGCCTGTGTTCCCTAGTTAGTCACCTTGGTTGTTTATTAGTTCTCTGCCTCTGAATTTGTTCAGTTGATTACTCTCCTGTGTATTTAAGCCATCCGTTTCCTTTTTCAGCGCTTGGTATTGTTTATGTTAAGCATGGTTATTTCCTGAGCTTTTTCACTGAGATGTGTTCCTAGTGGAATTTACTATTAAAGACTCCTTTTGTTATCCTTTGTGATTGTCCGCTTACCTAAACAGCGCCTGACAAAATACCTGACCAAGAGTGCGTTTCCCGAAAGCATCGTTATCCAACTATCGCAAATTCCCATTGAACTTAATTGGTAATGATGGAACTTGTGACCATAGTTGGCTAACGATGCTTTCGGGATACAATTTTTGCAGCATTTTTCTTTCTTTGTCCCTCTGCCCCCTCACAATGGACCTACCCGACGTCCAAATCCTCTTGACTTGAGCAGAAGGACGTTACACTAGACATTTTTTGGATTTGCCGTGCCTAGGCACACCTACCATGGAATGGTCTTTGAGAGGATTTCACAGAATTTGTGGAATGGGTGCTGGTGAACTGTGGATCACCATCTGTCCAGCCGAGGAGGACGTCACCAGCCCCACTCCAGACCCAGAACCAAGCCAGCACCTCCCCCACTCTGCAATTAGTGAACACCTGAGCCCACCCAGATGGAGAGCCTGAGCCTGCCGTGATGTACAAGCCAGATAGAAGAACTGAGCCAGCTACCACCCTAAAGGCTCGTACACACCGGGCGTTATTCGGCAGCGTTTTTCAATGCGTTTTTTGTGTTCAAACCCATGCGATTTTCGCTGACGATGAGCCGAGTGAACATGCAAATTCATTCCCTGACATTAGATGGCGCCCATTTGCTCTGCAATACCACTCCATAACATTCTCTTTTATCAAGATTTTTGTAGTCGCTGTCGCGTTTGTCATATAGTTCTTTATGTTCCGACAGCAACGAGACCAGCAGCTCTACATTCATCTTGCCTTGCATCTTCCTCGTCTTATTTCTTCCCGGCAGTGTAGACGCTACTTGGCGTATATCTTCTTCGCCGTTACGTATGTGTGCTCGGCAAGACCGTTTTTTGTTTGAGCGCCCCCAAGTTGTGTTTTACTGTAACTTCAGAAGCTCCAGACACGTGAGCAAAAGCGCCAATCTCATTGGTTGGATAGTTTTTGACGCGGCGCGTCAAACTAAAAAGACGAACCCGAGGCGTTTTTAAAAAAATGACGCTTTTACGCGTGGCGTTTTTCGTGTCGGTGTGCACACTCACATTGGCGCCCTTTGTTTAGTCACGAGGCGTTAAACTTCGGGGAATATCGCGCGCAAAATTCGTCCCGGTGTGAACAGGCCTTAAGCCTGAACCCCACAGTCAGTCTGACCAGGTGTGTGAGCCGGCAACATTGTTCATCCCCGTGGGGCTGCTAAATGATGTATGAGGGCATGGAGGAAAGCTGCCTAGGGTGGGCTGCAGCTGGCCTCTGCAAACGGTCTTTATGAACTGGAAAAGGTCTTCCATCCCCGCTCGTCCCATCCAGCTCCAAGTCTTCTGTGTCTCCGCTGGTCCCGCCCAGCTCCAAGTCTCCTGTGTCTTCAAAGATTGCCACCCAGCCTCCCTCTCTGACCTCCTCTTTCAAATTCAGCCATGGACCTTAGGGCTTCACTGTGGGCTGTCAAATAAAAATTTGAATTTCGAATATTCGTTGAATTTAAAATAAAAATTTACATTTGAATACATAAAAGGTGGATTCGAATTTTAGGGATCCATAAGGCAGCCTTATCACTCAGTGGTGCACGAGATGTGATGATAATGTAAGAGTTGTTGGATTTTAAAGTGCCCCTATTATGCTTTTTCGAAATATTACCTTTCATGCAATGTGTAATGTATCTGTGACTCAAACGCTGTAGCTGTAACGGGGCGAACAAGACGAGAGACGTGCGGATCCATATGCAAGGCTTTATTCCAAAACATGGTCTTAATACAGGCTAGGTCAATAAACAGCAAACGGGTATGGCAGAGGCATGACACAGAGTAATCCTTAGGGCAAGCGGGGGTAGACGATCGGCGAAAAATATCCAACAGGGGACAAGGCAAAGAGAGATAATCCAGGTAAACAGCAAAAATCCAAACGAGGTACAAACAGAGTCCAAAGGGCTAGGCTAAGGCTGAATCCAGGAAACAGGCAAGAATTAGGGATGGCTGACGCGAAACAGACGTTCCGAAGCTTTGCGAGATCCCGAAGCGCAGATGATTCGAAACACTGATCCGAAGCGTGATTCAAAACACCCACGTCACGTGACTACGGCTAAATAAAGCTTCTGAGTGTTTCAACAGGTGGAGTGCTCCGCCGAGTCAGGGTTTGATTGATAGGTCGGTCGGGAACAGATCATACAATCACACAGTATAAAAGTGAAGTCAACGCATTTTCACATCGTGGGTTTTTGTGAGCGGAATTTGGTTTTGAGATAGCAGATTTTTGGTGATATAGTGACATTTATAGTGCGATTTGTTTAGTTATATTTAGGCTTCCATTTAAATGTAGGCTACACATTGACTGAGAGACAGATAGAGTATAGTGACACATTAATAGATGCATAGATAGAAATATATATAGACAGATAGATTTATAGATAGATACATAGATGAATAGTTTAATAGATAGATAGATAGATAGATAGATAGATAGATAGATAGATAGATAGATAGATAGATAGATAGATAGATAGATAGATACAAATGGAGGCTCCACAGAAGAGATGCTGTACATGTGTGGTGTGGGAACAATACATCATCCATGATGCGCTATTTGAGAAGCACTCATCCTGCCATTCTGCAGGGTGCAGAGGATAGCACCCCCCCTAGGCCTGCTACTGACACTGCTGGGCCATCTAAGCAAGGTATGCATTGTTTGAAATATAGGCTAATTATAATTGAAATATAATGACAAAATGGTGGGACACTGTTTAGAAAGTCCATAGGCCAAGCCCTACCTAACGTCCCAATCACAACTGCCAATCAAGTTAAAAACAGCTTTACTGTGAATATAATATATGTTGTCACTATAATATATTTTGTGAAAATACATTTTATAGGTCTACATATGAGTACCCAATCTACAGCCAAGATATAATTTTGCTTTTTCTAATTGTAGTAGTTCTACAATCCACTTTATCTTTCTCTACACACTGAGCATACATATTCATAACATAACTTTGTTTAGGAAGGTTTCCAAATAATGAACCGATAGGCTACTTTCACAGTGGGCTACTATTTTTCCAATATATTTGTGCCGTCAGTTTAGGATTTGTTACTAATTGCTGTTTTCATTTTCATTCAGAGCCACAAATGTTAACATCAGGCTCATCATCATCATCAACACCAGTTGAAACACATTACAGTTTATGGGAACATTTTCATAATCGTATCCGTGAAACCCAGATGATACACAATGCTACAGCTGATGCCACAGTAGAAGTGAAAAAATACCTCAACGATGCGTTTTTGCCCAGAACTCATGATCCACTAACTTACTGGAAAGAGAGAGCAGTAATCTTTCCTCATTTGTATGTCCTTGCTAAAAAATATATTTGCATGCCAGCAACAAGTGTCCCTTGTGAGAGCATTTTTTCAAAGGCTGGAGAAATTATCTGTAAAAAAAAAAGAAGTAGGCTGAGTCTTTCGACAGCAGATAAATTAATATTTTTGAATAAAAATCTATAAGAAAGTGAGACATTGTGGCTTGATTTCTTTTATTAATATTCATTTTTCATGAACAAAATAACATTATGCAATGTGAAGAGCCTACAGGTTACAAGCTTCACATATTAGAAAAATACAATAATAAAAAAAACTTTTTTAATGGCTCATTGTAAAGGTTGTTTCAGATCAACACCTGCAAGTGACCACTAGGTGTCGCCGTGGAGACGGGTGTCGGATTGATTCAAAGCCTCGAAACAATATGGCACATTTGCTTCAACTGTTTCATTGCTTCACGAAGCCTCGATCTGCCCACCACTAGCAAGAATCAGAACAAAGGACAAGGCAAGACTAAAGTCAATGGATGGGCTCTGTAGAGAAGCTAACACTAGGGGAGTGCTAAACACAATACAATACTCGGCATCAGGGAGAGAAAGTCCAAGGCTTATAAAGAGTGTGAGATAGTATGTGATAGTTCTCAGGTGTGAGCGTGATTAGTGGTATCAGCTGTGTGAGTCGTCAATGCAATGAAGGATTCGGGATTGTAGTGAAG